TAAATATAAATTATAATTCTAATTTTTTTAAGAGAGTTAAAATTGATACATACATACTTTTAATTTTAATAAATTAAATAATAAATATTAATTATTTTTAACATTCAAATGAAAAAAGAGTCAAAGTTTTTTAAAAACAATAATGACAAAGTTAAGTTTAACTTACTATTGTGTGGCAATAATAACCACACCTGAAATAAATTTATTTATTTATTTGATAAAGACAATAATTAGTAGGTTAGTATTATCAGATGTTAACAACTGAGGGTTCGATCCTTCAATCCCTAAATTTGGTCAACAGCTAACCAAGTTCAATGAAACGCGTGGTCATTACGCTGTTTGGTGGATCATTACGCCGTTTGGTGGAGTGCTGGAATAAATTTATTTGACACAACTATTTTAATGAACCTATGACTTACAAAGCTCGACTCAACCCCACTCAATTTAACGTGTTGACAATTTCACATGTCTAATATTTTTCATACATTCATGACTAAAACGTGTTGTTCAGGTTGAAAGAGTGATTTCCAAAAGAAAATCGTTTTCGTTTCTTAAAACATTTCTTCTATTTAAAATTTTCCACATACATGCATATTTCTTTTTTCAGTTCATATAATTCAACACGGTGCAATTTTTTTTATGATTTATTTTTATGGGAATTCAACAAGGAACATTATAATTAGTTGAATTATGCCCCTTTTAATTATTTTCTTGCCAGGACTAATTTTTTTAACGAGGTGGACAGGTGAAATGAAGGTATTCTTTACGACGCTCACATTGATTTAGGTGTCTATGTACCTGAATTTTGTTGGGGAAACGTAGCAGTTTGGAGCATGCAATGCAAGGTTTAAAATGCCATGCGTCTTGAACACCTGCTTAAATGCAAAATTTTAATTTATTTAGATTTATGAATTACTAGATGTGAAGGTCTACTTTACACACTCTGGTCTCTATTAGATTTGGTTTTGGTTAGGTATTTACTGGGGCTGAGCATTAGGTACGGTATATATTCATTACTTGTAAGTATTTTATTTATTTAGATAAATATTCTACTAAAATAGGAAAAAAAATTGAGTAAATAATGGATATAAAAATATTATACCTACAAGTATCAAATTAAGTAATAAGTATAAAAGTTCATAATTATTTACTTGGCTTGTTTAACTATTTTATTTAACTAACTTATTACCTACACTTGTATAATTAAAATTTTATATATATATCATAATATTAAAATAAATACAATATCATCTATTATTATTCTTTTTTAACAAACTGAAATAGAGAATTAAAAGGACTATAAACCCAAAAACCTAGACATCTTCTTTGAAGAACTTTCATTCTATTATTTAATTTCTTTTCATTTTTTTATGTTTTGGATACATATTTTTCATTTTTTATTTTTTGAGTACATATTTTTTATTTTTTATTGTTAATTATTTAACTGGATTTAATTTTTTACTAGTATATAAATTTGAGTTATAGATATAAAACCAAATTTTAGTTCTCTATTGCTATTTTAGATTATATTTAAGTTTAGGTTGTAATAAATAATATTTTATTAAATTTTCACTAATTTTATTTAAGTTTAAATTAAAACTAAATAATGTTTTATTAAATTTTAATTGAAAAAATTTAAAGCAAAATATTATTTAACAAGTATATAAGTATATACTAAACTACTTAATACCTATTAAGTTAAATATAAGTATAGATCTTTAAGTATTTGGAATGTACCAAATCTAAAAAACAATACTTGAAAACTTTCAAGTCAAATACCAAATATAATTCATCCTCGACTTATATATGAAAATACTTACATCTAGTATTTACAGTATTAATTATAAGTTTTTATTAATTTTAATCGAGCTTGATTAATTTTAATAAAAATTGATTAATATTGAAATGATAATATTTTTTATTAAGCTTTTGTGATAAATTTATATTTTTTTTGTGACAAAATTTTTATTACAATATTTGTGTTATAATTATATAAATATCTTTTTTATTGAATATCAATTTTAATAATTAATGACTAAATTTTTCATCACAATTGCATTTGTTACTATTTTTTTGTCACTCAATTGTAACATTTATTATGAAAATTATTGTAACAAAAAATATTTTTTTGTGATGAATAAAATTGTTATAAATAGCTTGGTAATAATGTCAATTTTTTCTATCACTATAAGATTATTTTATGTGATAAGTGCATAATTTGTTACTAAAAGTATTAGTGACAAGGGTTTTACTATCAATTTAAATTTTATCACTAATAATAATTTGTGATAGAAAATAAAGATTTAATGATTAATAATTTAGTCATTAAATGTGGATTTTCTTGTAGTGATAAGGTAATATTTAATTACATCATTATATTTATATAAAATTTTTATTTTTTATTTTTTATTTTTAATAGTTGATATTTATTAATTTCTTATTATATTTATTAAAAATAATTATTTCTTTTATTAAAAAATCATAATAAATTTTAACAATTAAAAGTGAAGAGATGAATTAGTCAATATTTTATATAAATATAGTGTGTAAAACTTTTATATATATATATATATATGTAAAACATTATTTATGATGTGTATATGATGAATTTTTAGAACCAAAATTTAAAACAATTTTATGCTAATCATTGGCCATAGTGTGAGTTTTGTATAAACTCACATGATGAATTATTGAAATAATTTTATACTAAAATCTTTTTCAAAATTTAACTCCAAGAATCATTAACAAAAAAGAAGTTTAAGAATGAAATTGTGAGAAGAATTTAGTTCAGGGGCTAACTTAGGTGTTAACTAATTTCCCGGAGGCGACAAAAAAACAAAAAAAGAAAAAAACAAAATCTAGTGTCATTTTGGGCCCAAAAGGGCCAGTGAGAGTGGATATTATGAAGCCTAACACTGCGAATTTCAGAAGTTTCATCTTGCAAACGTTCTATTTCCATTATTGCCCCTCAGACAAAGCCAAAATGACCCTTGATCGCCATCGTCTTCTTCTGTCAATTGAACCTTGATCCGCAGCCGCCATTGACGATCTGCTTCTTAGTTCTCGGCTCTCCGGTGAATTGATTTTCCGACTGGAATAAACTCAGCGATCTGAATTCTGCTCTCTGGCTACCGGACAAGAAGGGAAAATACATAAAAATTCTTTGGGGGAAGAGATATGGGGTCTTTTTCTAGGGGAATCAACATCGCCACGAGTGCTCAGAGAATTGATGTGGATAATCGGATTTCCCTCCGGTACTACTTCCGGATCGCTGATAATATTCTCAAACAGGTCTCCTTCCATCTCTTAATTTTGTTTATTTCCCCCCTTCAATTTGACAGTGATTACTCAATGTTTAGCTTGGTTTTTTACTCTTTCTTTCACTATCTATGATGGAATCTGTAATCGTTTGTGACTTTAGTTTAGCTGATCATCGACTCTCTTATTTCTAGTTTTGAATTTAGGGATTTCATTTGCAGAAACTTATCAATTTTCATTTAGAGAAAAAGTTTAAGTACTTATAATTTAGTATAGCGAGGTATACTATTATACATGACAGATGATAGTAACATTTGACGGTAGTTTAGCTAGATGCTTCCTGCTTTCTGGAATACAGTTGCTGCCAACGAAATAATTGGGGTATCTTTTGTTAACCCAATGTTAGTGGGATGAATGTAGTTTAATTAGATTGGTTGGGAAGCGTAATTGAAATTAAGGCAACTTGTTTTATATTTGTGAAATGAGTTAATCAGTGTCATTTTTTTTTTTTTTTTGGGTAATCTTTATAAAAATTTGTGTAAGTGATTGATTTGTGTAAGTGATTGATTTGTCTTGCGATATTGTTGCCTGACAATGTTGGTAGTAACATGAACAAGGCAGATGTGATGTTCAATGTTTTAATGCTACGAGAATATTATAGTCAGACTGTTTTTAAGTTCATGTGTGGTTAGAGAGCTAAAGATTGAAATTTGACCAATGTCCTCCACTGGATGTGCAAAAATCTTGTAGTTTAGAAAATTGAGAAGTTAGGAGTAAATTTGGAGCCAAAAACACATATAATCTCATTGCAGATCTCCCATCAATGTTATTATGATGATTTTTCTCTTCCTTTATGATTGCATTTTATTTTTCTTGTTTTGGTTAGAGGATTTTTAGTTAACCATTTGTTTTTATTGTGGATGAACTTGAAGTCCGACAGTTTGGAAACTTGTATGGATGAAACATAGATCCTCTATCATACATTCTATGTGTTTTGCTTTTGATTTATGAGTTTTTTTAAAAATCTATAAAAGGAGATTGGGCATTTTTATGCATAGCAATATGTCATATCAAATATGTTGATTATTTAAATGCCCCTGAGTAACTGTTCCTTTTAAGTTTGCTTGTATCTTTATTTTCTTTATCTTTACACATTGCGTCTTAATATTGTAACTGCTGTCATAGGCTGACATTTTCCGAGGAGAGAAGAATATAATAGATCTGTACATTATGCTTCTAAGGTTTTCAAGGTAATGAAATGATCACTTAATTATCTAAAGAATTAATACAATTGATATCTGTTTTTTATTCCTAATGTGCATCTGAAGCTACTTGCCTCTCCTTGTTCTTCTCTTTCTCTTCCTTCACCTTAAGTTTGGTTTCTGAAACAATACCATGCCATCGAGATTATGGATCGTCTCGACAAAGTAAAAAGGTCTCCTTGAGAAAGGTAATAATATCTTCTGTGCTTTTTTTGCACAGTCCTTCCTCTTCTTTCAAGGTTTGTACTATAGTTTCATCTCAAATTTTTGTTTCAGAGATTGGTAAACGCTTTGAATGAGCTGGAGGAGTTGAAGCCTGCAGTGCAACAGAAGATCAATGAGTTGAACAGGAAACACAGTTATCAGAATAATTCTTTAGAATGGCCTGCTGTGAAGAACACAACTTTGACAAACCATAACGTGACAAAGGTACAGTTAATTTTTCTTAGTTCTGATTAGGTTCTCCAGCCTTGATTTGGGCCAACAGCTTTGGATCACTCTTTAGTTACCATGCAATTATGATAGTCTTCTATAGCTACTCTACATCATTTTAAAATATTGCTTTCACAATGGAAACCTGCGAATTTAAAATAAATATGTTTGTCATCTGACAGGCAATTCGACCAACTTCGTATGCATATGGTTATTATGGTTCAAGTAATCCGCACTTTTTGCATCCCAGGTCAGTAGGGGAGCAATTTCAGAAAATGTAAGCATTTGTATTAATTTTAGGGTTTCACTATTGTATGCTATCAGAGATAAGAACTTCAAGTAAAAGGGTTTTCATTCCCCAAATAAATAATCATGGCTAAAATTAAATATATAGTGGTTAAGTTCTACAATGGCTAGTTTTGGCATAAATTATTGCCTACATTTTTGTGTCAATGATTTTGAACTGTTTGTTCAATGCATTCATGTATTACTAGTTCTTTATACTGGTTTGTAGAACTTTATGAATTGCATCTTTCTTTTAATTATAGAATTTTATCCTCCTCTATCAATTGATGCGCAATATCTTTGAGGCACCGTGTTAGGCTCTCTTATTATCTGTATAACTATTGTTAATAATGTTAGTTTTTTATATTTTAGTTCATTACATGGGAGAATGGACAAACAGATTGACTTTTGAGTTATAAATGACATGTGCAGCCTGCTTGATTGTTTATTTTTTCTCAATTGTTTTGCATTGTTCCTTTTAGGACACTAAACTTCCCTCGAGCAAAGGAGGAAACTTTGTCTAAACATTCGATTTTGGGTCCAGATGGGCTTCATGGGCAGTGGCAGCCACCTAGGACTGATGTAAAGGTATGATGCGTTGCTGTTTTCCTCATCCTTCATGCAAAATGCAAGCTGATTTTCTTTTGTTAATGCAGGTGCAATATCCAAGCAACGTGGACCTGACTCCAGTTGAAATTCCAAGGTCAGTCACTTAGTCATTCTGGAAGTATCGTTCTTCCTTCTTTTCCACTTGTACTAAGTTAAATCTAGTATGTGCTAAGGAAACATGTTAAAAGATGATTTCAGGAGGAATTATGTGGTAATTAAATGACATGAGAAGTTTGAATGTATACTGTTATTTTCTCTTTGCTTTTATTATTTTGGCTTAGAGAAGTTTATGCTTATGACTACATTCTTTTCTGGTGGTTTTTATGTGAAAACAGTCTGCAGAAATATTTAGAAAATGGTCTTCCAGTGAGGAATGACCATTGCAAGTCAGAAGCTGAAGCATCCATTGTGGAATCTGTTATTAATCTGAATGAAAATAGTGAGAATGGTGACAACTGTAATGTCAAGGAACCTCGTCCAATGATTTCCTTTGAAGAATCAGAGATCCCTGTTCAGATCAATATTACCAGGCAGCCTTCACCTCCCCCTGTACTTGCTGAGATGCAAGATTTGGTTCCTGCAGTGTCACCACAAGTCTCTGATGCGGGATGTAGAATAGAGAATTCATCAGTAGACAATTTTGTCAGCTCTGAATCTCACATGGAGTTGCACATTGTGCGTCTCTACCATTCCCTTTGGCTTTCATTATATTGGACATTGCATAATTAAGTCCTTCTTATGACAGATTCAAAATTTTACCCTAATGATTGAATTTATTTTTTCTTTAGTTGAAGTCAATTGGCATATTTGAAATGTTAGGGATCTTATTAAATATTTTTTCTATTGCAGTCAACTACAATGATGGAGACCTTCATGAAGCTGGCTAAATCAAACACTGATAGGAATCTAGAAACGTGTGGTGTCCTTGCCGGTTTACTTGTAGGTGGCAATAACTTAGAGTGTTTATTGTTTAATAATTAGGATTTAACTTCTATTATTTTGCAGAAAAACAGAAAATTCCATGTTACAGCGTTGATTATTCCTAAGCAAGAATCAACATCTGACTCGGTATGACAGTACCATTATGGATCTAGCATATCTATTTTTAATTTGTTTCACAAATCAAATCTCTTTCCTTTTCATTTTGTATAACTCAATTTTCTAATTATAATCCCAAATCTCTACATTATGATCAGTGTCAGACAACAAATGAAGAGGAAATATTTGAAGTGCAGGATGAGAAATCTCTTTTTCCCCTTGGTTGGATTCATGTAAGTACTTTTGAATTTGCTGAAGTTGTGAATTGAAAATATCTTTCTTGCTTGTCCTCAATGAAGAGGTTTGCTATTGTGCATAATTGTTTTTGTGTTTCTTTTTCCTGGTAAATGGACAACTTCTACCATTTATCCTCATTAATTTGGCCTTATCCTGACAAAGTAAGTTGTGAGAAAATATGAAGATATAGGGTTTCTTCCTGTCTTTCTTTCTTTCTTTCTTCCTTTCCTTTTCCTTTTTTCTTTTTTGGCTGTTGAGCTACTAACAATACTAAATTATGGTTTCACTAATCTGACATAGTTTCAAATTTCCTTGAATAGACTTATGAACAATAATTTCTTTATTAGCAGAAAGTTTTAAGATTCTATGCCTCATCTTTTCGCCTTGTCATTTCCCTACTTTTTATGCATACTCTTCTATTGAACAAGAGAAGGTACAATGTATGATTTGAATTCAGAAGATCTTCCTTTAAGTCTTTAACCTATTTGTCTGACCTTGAAGTTTTAATTAAAGTATACATGGATTATACATAAAGATGGGAATGCAACTCTGAAACATAAGTCAGGAATTTTCTAAATGCCAATGAATTTTTCTATATAGTGTTTAATTTTTAAGAAAAAGTTTATGATTGGAGACTGACTGGAAATGAATGGTGCTGTTGGTGAAAAATGTATATTATTAATCCAAGCCAACACACTCCCCCCTACCATTGTGAATGGTCACCCAAGGCATTTATCTATTATAAATCCTTTTCATTTGGGTGAAAACATTATCGCAGCAAGTAGTGAGAATTGATATGTTTGATACCTGGTCTTCCCAAATTTCAAATCAATCTTGACTTTTTCCATCCATGTTAAGTTATTAAAAATATCATATCTAAGGGTTGATTCTAACTGACAGATTGGGGAAAATTTAATCAGAACAATATTGTGGTATAGAAACAAAAAGTCTGTACTTAAATGTATTTGAATTTCACGTCTAAATATCTTTGCGTGTCTTTCAATATCACCCATCTCCTTCATTATTATAGTTGATATTTGCATGGTTTTAATAGATTCCACTTCAGTGCTTGTCTTCTATGTGAATGGATGAATGTGTTAGGGCCTTTGTGCTGACCAATAAATCATTATTTCACAATCCAGACACATCCTACGCAGTCTTGTTTCATGTCATCAATTGATGTTCACACTCATTACTCATATCAGGTGTGTGTTTCTTCCTATTATTGTAAAAGTTTCAAAATTTTATGTTTTTGTTATTTATTTGATATATATATATATATATATATATATGTAGATGGCTGTTGGCATGCCATACTTGGAAATTCATTTCAATTATGTAAATTCTTTGTTAGTCTGGAAGTGGTTAAAGAATGTTTGGCGCAAGAAACCAATGGTTGCCACTAGTGAGTTCAATAGATTAAAACAAAACTGTCCTCATTTTCTTTTGGTGTCTAAATGTTCTCCACTCCTAGTTTCCTCTCTCGACTTTCATGGTAAACAAAAAAATGTGCTGATTTTGATTCTACCCCCTTTGGTTTGTTTCCTTGTCAGATTCTGAATCTGACAGTAAAATGATAGTTACACCTCAAAAATCAGGTTTCTCCTTCCACTCTAGCCTTGTCAAATGGACTCATAATAATTTGGACAGGATTACTAGAGAGTTCTCATGCATTAACTCCACAGAAAACTGTGCTTTCTTATATTGTACTCACTATCAGTTACTCTGGATACACAACAACCCATCTCAAATTCCAAAAAGCATTTTCTGTGTGATCAATGCTGATATTTGTATGGGTATATTCATGTAGAATAATATCTCATACGTTCTATGTAGATATGTATGCTTCTAATAGCTCTTCAGAGTTCACGGTAATGGCTTTTTGCTTTTCTTCAGATTATGTTGCCAGAAGCTGTTGCAATAGTCATGGCACCAAGGGATACGTCAAGGTGAGACATTATAATGAATTTTCAATTTTTGCCATGTTTTTTCTTTTTGATTGGCAAAGGGAACTAGTGCTTTAGCAATTGCAGGGATTTGGACCCTTGACTTTGACCTCAGTAAGTTATTTTCTATGTTATTAACTGGTGTAACTTCTACTTTTCCTTTCATTCATCCAGAAAGCATGGCATTTTTCGGTTGACAACCCCAGGAGGTATGTCAGTCATAAGAAACTGCCAACTACGTGGCTTTCATCCACATGATCAACCTCCGGATGGGGGCCCCATTTACAAATCCTGTACAGATGTGTATATGAACCCTAATCTAAAGTTTGATGTCATTGATCTTCGATGATCACAAGTTGCCCCCATCATGATAGGTGAGGTTTTGCTTGTCTAATGGTTTACGGTATGCATGCCATTAGTCAGTTTGCAGTTAGAGTTGATCCTTAAAATGTAAAATACATGCATGTAAAATGGAAACAACGGAATATTGCAATTAGACCCTAGTCAATGAATGCATAGGCCAAAATGTGGGTCTAAAAACTGCCTGGGAAAGACTTCTAAAACTGTTTGTCAATTCATTTATCCATTGAATAGAAATGGAACTTTCTAATTCATTACAAACTGAATTATAGTCTTTGATGAAATTTATTACCTTGCAAATTTATCATGATGTCCAACTCAATTGCGCTTTTATGGTTATGAATAGATGGACTTAGTTGATTTTTGGACAAATTCTGGTTGTGTTGGAGATCATATAATCATTTGAGTTATATTAGTAAACTTGGTCTGATTTTGTAGCATTGATTTTGGATAACTTGAGCCATAAGAATATTGAAAAGGAACAGAGTAGGAATGATGGAAATAATGAAACAAGGTCCAAGTCTTGACAGATTTCCAAAGAGCAGGAGCAAAAGCAAGACAACAGTCTCCACAATATTTATGAAGCTACTTTCTACATTGGCTGGTTGTTGGTGGGTACTTCTGGAAATTTACTCTGCCTTTTTCTTTTGAAAATGGGTATCACTTACCTTTGCATAACGCAGCAATTCATTAGAGTAGACTTTGGTCCCCTTTTCTCTGTTTTCCAAAGGAGACTTAGAAAACACTCAAGTCTCTTTCTTGCAGGACTCCATACTCTCTGAAAGGCCACTCTTTTCCACTCAAAAAAGAGAATGACGTTCTCCTTTCTTCTTTCCTTTATTGCCTTTTGCCCATTCCAATTTCTTCGTCATTCCCTCGGGAAGCAAAATGTCTTGAGATGTACGCTAGCACATAGCGGGTTTATTTTGTGAGCACATCATTTGCAATTGCATACTCAGAAGTGTAAAAATTAATGACACTACATTCAATGGAGTTCTGTCTGCCCTTCCCTAAACATGGGACCTCACCTCACTAAAATTAAGCTGCTGGAATCCTGGAACAACCGTCAACACGTATCAGATGCCAACTTCTATGATGGTGATGACGACCCAATTTGATTGTCCTTTCATTGATCCTTGGGGGCCCTTTCTTCAGGTCGGTGTGGGGTCTAAATCTTGATCAGAATTAAGCAATTGAAGCAAAGATTTTGTCCATTATCTTCTTTCTTATTGATCCATGCGGAGATATTGCCTTACATGGCAAGTTTTTGCCCATTTACATTTATTCACAATCACAAAATATGGTAAATCTGTATGTTTGTGGAGGGCTCCACTGCATATGGGTCTGTAACTTGTGAGATTGGTTCCTAGTTCTTACTTCTTAACATCCATTTGTTAAATTGCATTGCATCTTGAGGTTTCCATCAATCTTGTATTCAAACTTAACGAAGACAAAATCATTTTTTTTTTTTTTTTAAATTTTGAACTAGGGAAATTAGGGGGTGGGGAAGTGTTATTTTCAAGGCTACTAGAACCCTAGACTTTAGAAGACCGTGGCGACTGGGCCACTGTAGTGATTGGCAGCAAAGATGAACCTATTTGATCTGCGGAATGAGGACGATATCACAAGAAAGATAGAGGCCATACTTTTCTTGTGGAGTCAATGTTTATAAAACATCCAAATCAGTCAAGCATGACTATCCATTTCGTGAAGAACAAGAAATTTCTTCTCTTTTTCTAAGGCAAACCCCCAAAATTTTAAATGTCAAGATACCTTCTAATAGTGCAATGAATGTGCATTAGAAGGAAATGTTCAAAATAGATATTCCCAATCTGTCCAATGAAACTCCGTGTGGCTTGTCCTCAAAAAACCAAAGCAAAGTAAACGAAGCTGTCCAAAATATTTTTCAACTACTTCCAAGTTTATCTTATATTTAAAGGATTTGTCTAACTTGTGGGCACAAATTAAAATTTATTAATTAAAGTATTTTTAATTAATTTTGAATAAATTTTTATATCAAATTTATATTATTTTATAAATTTTAAGTAAAAATATTATATTTTATTAAATTTTATTTTATTTTATTTAAATCTTATATAAAAATTTGTATAAAATTAATTATAAATATTGTAATTAACGAGACTTAACCTATATCTTTAAGAAAATTTCATATTTAAATACTATTGTTAAGTACACCAACTCTTAGACCAAGGTAAATATATATAGTCATATACTTTTATATAAAAAAAATGTCATGTATACTACTCCAAGGCAAAAATAAAAGAGGTTTCTCTTAATATTTGATTATATCGCTTCAATAATATTCTTAACTAATAGAAAGCTGACACATTAGGATTATGTTACCTTAGAGAAGTTTCTTATGTCATGTACGAAAGTTTCTTATGCCACGTCACAAGTTTATGTTGACATATTCTTCAATTTATTTAAAGTTTTATTAGCTTTCTTTTAAATAGGAATACCATGCGGTGAAGTTTTTTCTCCCTAATGTTTTAGTGAGCAGCTCTCCCTAATTCCAAATTAAATAATAGCATTGAATCTAGCATAGGAAGAAAGGTTTAATTTCATGTACAAGAATTCGATTGAGTAATCTAGAAAACAGATTAAATTTGGCATAAATAATAAACTAATCTACTTGATTAACAGATCTATTTCAACAAGGATTTGCTTTGACAATTTCTACACACTGAATTATGTCGGTAGAGTAGGTGGGTGGTGTATTTCAGTTGATGCATGCAACATTTTACAGTTTGGTATACTTCAATTATTGATTGTTTTTAATGAAACAGAGAATTATTAATTTGGGTTTTGCTAGTCTTTTTTTTTAAATGCAACATCTACTTTCAGAATATTGAGTGGCCAGCTGGGTTAAATGAACTTCAAGCACCCTTTGTTGAACATCAAAAGTCATTGAAATCAGAGTGATTTTATAGGAAGGTAGAAGGAAAATAAAGAATAGAGTAAGTTCGAGTTAATAGTGATATTAATGAGAATTTGAATGGCTTAAATAATTTGAGTAATATTTTAGTTGACTAGAAGTAGAGTAGGGAAAAGTATGCAGCCTATGAATGAGAAAAATTGGAGAAAATGGAGGTTGATAAGTGGTTGTGATAAAATTGGAGGTGAACCAACTTTAGGAACTTCATTATGAGCATGTTGGCTTGGTTTGATTACTCCTTTAAGGCTTCTGTATCATAATATCTAATTGATTTTTAACTAGACTGCAATTGCTGATATATACTAAATCCAAAACCTGCTTCATCTAGATATTTAATTCCAGATTCATGATGGAATCAGATGGGAAGAGAAGAAAATAATTGTTGAATATGGTTTCATTCCTTCTCTTTTTTTGAACATTTTAGTCATGGGGCCGGGTCGAATCGTTGCCTTGAGGAGGGGATATGAACCTTACAAGAGTGACTAAACCCACTTGGCCCACAGGATCAAGTTCGGTTTCATTCCTTCTTTAGCTTGAAGTTTAATGCAAAAGGGTAGAAGATCCATGTCAAAATTGTGATGTCACAGCTGTTTTCCCTCAAGTTTGATTTAGTTTGTCAGGAAAATGAGGTGAGGAGAAGAAGCTCAATCAAATTGATATTTTACCATTAGTCATTTGATGTGGAAATACAGGTTTAAAGTTCAATCTGAAATCTTTACATATAAAAAAAATTCGTGACATTTTGTTGGGAAGTTCACATTTGAGTGTAAAATTTACATTGAAATAATATAGTAAAAATAAGCTACATGTAGATCCATGAACTCAATAGAGACTAGTTTTTTTGGGTTCAATATGATGCGGTATCCCCAACAATATTGTATGGTTGATATTGCCTCAATCAATGCCTGATATTGTCTGATTAGTGAATCTCAAATCTTAAGCTCCCACTAGTTACTGTGCCATCATTTTCGGCTGAGTTCATGTGTGTTTTTTCCCACTTTGACAGGTAGGGCCATTTATTGTGGTGGGTAACTTTCCTTTTTCTCATTTTCTTAAACTATTCTTTGTCAAATCCTACTTGTGCTGTCCACCATCTTTGCCTCTGAATGAAGTTAAGTCTTCTGTTGAAGCTTTCTCTACATTTCTCTTCCTCTGCAGCTCTCAAATCTCTCAAAAATCTCTGCATCACATTAGTTCACAGCACTATGTTTCTCCTCCTCTGTTTCTTTGCTTTTGCAGCCCACAATTTTTGCCCCAACTTTTTATGCTTCTTACCCATGACAAATATGCAGACAGCTTTTGTTTCCTCAGCATCTTCTGCAGAAAATAAGAACGTTTTATCCATCTCCTGATCCGTGAATTTTCTCAGAGGCACAAAATCCGCAAATCTTGAATAAAGTAGCTACCCTTTTGTCCTTTACATTCCTTGAAATGCACAAATTTCTCTCCATCTTCCTCTTTTAACCTCCTTGTCCAAACAATCCTGGTCAATGTTAATTCTTCTTTCAAGCTCCCCAAAATTGAATCCTTTTCATACCCTTTTTCAATTCCAGATTTAGAGGCAGAAATCCCGTTGATCCTCATGTGTTCTGCAACAAGTCCTCGGATATCATTTTCCCATGATATGAACGAAGATAGCATTGTACCTATAGAACATGGTGAATCTCGCAGAGATACAATGCTTTTGGACTCAAATTCAGATTTTGAGTTCATCATCTGCAGCAGCTTCGACCGAGAATCCTCCTCAGCTGATGAACTTTTTGCAAATGGCATGATCCTTCCAGCAGTTGGGGCTCAACCTTCAAAACAAGTCCAAAAATGCAAAATCCCACCTCTAGTCTCCCTTTCTCCTCCATTTGCTGATCCTCCTGAAGTTGAGCATTCAAGGAAAGAAAGCATAAGGGAGACAGTAGCTATCAATTCTGAACATTTGGAGGAAAAGCCACAGCCAAAGTCCTTCTGGGGTTTCAAGAGAAGCAGCAGTCTCAACTGTGACATAAAGAAGAGCCTAATCTGCTCCTTACCTCTTCTGTCCCGAAGCAATTCAACCGGTTCTGTACCAAATCCAAAACGGGGTCCAATTAAGGATGCTCAGAGGCAGAGCTTACAAAGGCAATCATCTTCCAGCAGTACTTATTTAAAGCCTCCATTGAAGAAGAATCAAGGAAGCTCTTATAATAATGGTGTTAGAATTAGTCCTGTGTTGAATGTCCCACCTCCTTACATATCTAAAGGAACTGCAAATCTCTTTGGTTTTGCTTCCTTATTACGCAATGCCAAAAATAAGAACAAGAAATGAATGTTTCAAACTTCCAATGAAATCATCTGAGTTTTTAGCTTGTAGATCTTTGTTGATTGTTCAGTATTGTTGATTTTTGTTAATAACATGTAGCTTTTTCTGGTCTTTTAACTTAATTTATTTATATGTTAAGTGATTTAAATTAGAATATTTTACATTTATAAAATAAAAATTACCACTAACTCATTTATGTTATTCAGTTCTGAAGCAAAAATGGGATGAAATGGAGGTTTTGGGACGTGGAATGCATTTGATATGTCATGTGTTTGGGAGACATATAAAGAAGTAGCCCTTGTTTCATGGGTTGTCCCATTCTTTGGTTTTATCCTTTCCATTTCTCCTACCTCCATTAGGTATGTGTCTCTTCTGTTAATTCAAAAGTAACTTTTGGTCTCTGTCTATATTAATGTAAAGGTGGACTTTTTTTTGGGAGTTTTCATATGATACAAGGCAAAAGATTTTTTATATTGATTGATAATGTGATATTTGGTTTGTCTCTTTTAGGTATTTATTTTAGGGTATCCATTAATAATTTTATATGCTGTTATATCCTCAAAATTTATGAGATAGTATTGAAATAAAGAATATTAGAAAAAAAAAAACTGGTTTTCAAGTAAAAATGGAGAAATTTAACCAAGAAAAGAATAAAAAGATTTTAAAAAAATTTAATTAAAAAAAAAAATTAAAAAACTTTTATAATTAGAACAACATGCAATTCAGACTAAAAAAAACATTACTGTTAGGGGAAACGGCCACCTCGTTTGGGAAAATATGTCTTGTTCTTAGCTAATATAATAGCCTAAAACAAGTTGGGCAATCATCCTCAGAGGAGCAGAAAATTGTTTTTTCTGCTGCAGGACAGAACTAGGTCCTAACAATTTACAGGGAAAAAAAACATCCTCTTTCTTGTGAGGGACACTTGAAATCTGGCCCAAGATAGCATATTTATTAGAAAAAGGCCTAAACGTTTGGCCCATTGATTCTGAAGCCCGATTGATCCAACAATACTGAAATTAAGAGCTATCCCAGCTCCTAATTTATTACTAAATTTCCTTTATTTAAATAATTAGCTTTTTCGTTTCCGTATTCCATTTTCGCTGCATCCAAACAGACCTCTTTTTCCCGTCACCATTTCCGGCTTTTTGCACCCAAAAAAAAAAAAGATAAAATAAAAAAAGAAATCAAAATCTCTGATCCTTCTGTCCCGGCGATCCCAAATTCCGATGCCATTCTTCAATATATAAGGCAAAATTCTCGATTACCTGATTCTCCGTCCGACTTCTTGTTCGTCTCCGATGGCGGGTGCATCACTAATGGACACCCTCTTCCAGCGCAGTCTGGAGGACCTAATCAAGGGCATGAGGCAGCAACTGATCGGAGAGCCAGCCTTCATCTCCAAGGCAATGGAGGAAATCCGGCGAGAGATCAAGTCCACGGACCTCTCCACCAAGTCCACCGCTCTCCTCAAGCTCTCCTACCTCAGCTCTCTCCACTTCCACGACATGTCCTTCGCTGACTTCCACGCCCTCGAGGTCCTCTCTTCCCCTCGCTTTGCCCACAAGATGATCGCCTACCACGCCATCTCTCTCTCTTTCCATGATGCCACCCCTGTACTCCTCCTAATCACCAACCATCTCCGTAAGGATCTTACCAGCACCAACGAGTATGAAGTGAGTTTATCTCTACAATGCTTGTCGAAAATTGCTAATGTCGATCTTGCTAGGGATTTGACTCCGGAGATTTTTACTTTGTTGTCTACTAGTAAAGTTTGTGTCCGCAAGAAAGCCATAGGTGTAGTTTTGAGAGTTTTTTGGAAGTACCCGGATGCCGTTAGGGTGTGTTTCAAGCGTTTGGTGGAGAATTTGGAGAATTCTGATCCCCAGATGGTGTCCGCAGTTGTTGGGGTGTTTTGTGAACTTGCATCCAAAGACCCAAGATCTTACCTTCCTTTGGCACCTGAGTTTTATAGGATTTTGGTTGATTCTAGGAACAACTGGGTTTTGATTAAGGTGTTGAAGATTTTTGCACGATTGGCTCCATTGGAACCCAGGTTGGCTGAAAAGGTAGTTGAGCCAATTTGTGACCATATGAGGAGGACTGTAGCAAAATCCTTGTTGTTTGAATGTGTTAGGACTATTGTCAATAGCTTGAGTGAGTACGAGTCCGCTGTAAAGCTTGCAGTGGTGAAAATTCAGGAGTTTTTGTTGGATGATGATCCAAATCTTAAGTATCTTGGGCTGCGAGCTCTTTCTACTGTAGCAGAGAAGCACTTGTGGGCAGTTTTGGAGAATAAGGAGATTGTGATTAAATCATTGAGTGATGTGGATCCTAATATTAAAGTTGAGTCATTGCGTCTAGTGATGAAAATGGTGTCTGAGAGTAATGTGGCTGAAATTTCAAGGGTTTTGCTCAATTATGCCCTTAAATCTGGTCCAGAGTTTTGCAATAAGATTCTTGCCTCCATTTTATCAACATGCTCTAGAAATGTGTATGAGATTATTGTTGACTTTGATTGGTATGCATCACTGCTTGGGGAAATGTCACGAATTCCACATTGCCAGAAGGGAGAAGAAATTGAAAATCAGCTAATTGATATTGGCATGAGGGTCAAGGATGTTAGGCCAAAACTTGCTCATGTTTGTCGTGGTCTGCTGATTGATCCTGCTTTACTTGGTAACCAATTCTTGCACAGAATATTATCTGCTGCTGCTTGGGTGTCCGGGGAATATGTTGAGTTTTCAAGGAACCCATTTGAACTTGTTGAAGCTCTATTGCAACCTCGCACTATTTTGTTGCTGCCTGCAATTAGAGCAATATATATTCAATCTGCCTTTAAGGTGTTAACATTTTGTTTACATACTTACCTTTTGCAAAACAAAGGTACCACTTTCTCCTCTTGGTCTGATACTTTGCTGCCAGGAGTTTTGTCATCTGATTTTTATGAATCATTGGCTGATCTCTCAGTGGGAAATGGTCCAAGTGTAACTGTTACTCCTGGACATGTGTCTCCTTCTTCTCTAGAGAGAAATGATCTGTCATACGAATATATTGTAAACATGTTGAATCTGGTTGAATTGGCCTTTGGCCCACTCTCTGGAAGTAATGATGTGGAAATACAGGACAGAGCACAGAATGTACTTGGTTTTATTGATTTAATAAGGGAAAAGGTGCTTAACTCTTCAGTTCAGAAGGGCAATGTTTCTGAAGGGAAAGATGTGGAAGTAGCTGATATTGTTGAACTGATGCATCATGCCTTTTCTGAGGAGCTTGGTCCTGTTTCAATAAGTGCCCAGGAAAGAGTTCCTCTACCAGATGGGTTGATACTTAAGGAGAATCTTGTTGACTTGGAAGCTATCTGTGGTGATATAGGACTACCTTCGTCCAACTCCTTTCCTTTTGAAAGTACTAGTTATAAGGAGGAAGTTGGTAATTCTTTGTCTAACCTAGAGATTAAAGAAGGCTTAGAACAATTGAATGAGTCCACATCTCTTCTAGCAGAACATCGTAAGCGTCATGGGTTGTATTATCTTCCTTCAGACAAGAGTGAAACTATTTCAAATGATTATCCTCTTGCCAATGATCCCATGTCCCAGGATAATGCCACTGATGATACCAATGATCTACTTAAACTTGCAGAACAGTCATTTGTTCCAAGGAGAAAATCAAGCCATACCAAGCCTCGACCTGTGGTGGTCAAATTGGATAATGGGGATGAGATACCTATTGCAAGCAGGAAATCAGAACCAAAAGATGATTCATTATCAGATGCTGTGCGTGATGTTCTTTTAGGTAGTGAAGCCATAATACGCACTTCATCACAAAGTAACCTTTCTGATAAGCCACCAAACAAGAGAAAAGGGAAGGAAAAACAACATAGAGATATTCATGAGGAATTGAAAGAAAATTTAGTTGATGATCGAAATCCTAGTTCAAGGAGAAGCAGACACCGTAGGCATGGAAAAGAGAGAAGACAAAGAAGTCCTAGGAAGAAGAATGCTGAGGAAGGAGGAGATAATGGTCAGAAAGAGAAGCAGAAGAGCAGTCATCCCCATGGTAGGCACCGACAAAGGGCTGATGAGCCCTCAAATGTGGCTGGACAAACATCAGAGGTTCCTGATTTCCTTTTATAGCCTAAAGTTTAGCTGCTGGAGAGAATTTGGTTTATGATTTCTCTATGTTCCTTGAGCACCAAGGTTAGTTGCTATGTGGATTTAATACTTTCTGTTTTCAGCTGGGGGTTTTTAATTTCTTTAAACTTAACTGTCGAGGATTGATTTTACTTGTTACATATTGCAAAATTCTTTTTTTTTTTTTCGAAATTCAATTTTGCGCAATAAAATTTTCAATTTGATTCTTTCTGGCACAGAATGTATGAGGTGGACACAATTTTCAAAAAAGTAGTTTGCATTCTGATATGATTCCCTCCATATTTCAAGTTTTAGCATCATTCTTTGTTGTGAACTATCTTTAACCTGTATGATTCTTAACTGAGGATCAGAACAGTCACATTCTTGCAAGCAGGTGAAATGTACAACCCATTAACTATATTCATGAGATGAGGAAATGATTACCATCTTCATGTAATTCAGAGAACAACTTATTCTTAATTGACTCACTGCAAGAAAGGTTGCCAAGGACTTATAGTACATTGTACTCCAATTCCTTGGCTGAAAATCCAAAAATCTTGTAGTGTTTGTGGCTCTTTTTAATTGTGGAGTTAAATTTGAAAGGCTGGATCTTTGTTCACACTTTATAGATTGGTGTATGTGCACGAGATATTAACTGGACATATAGGTTGTTCCTAAAATTGCTAGTGTTTTACAAATTTGTTTGAAAAAGGTCAAAAGTTCTATGAAGTTTTCTGTATTAATAATCTATTGTCTTTGTTAATATAATTGAAAGAAGCATGCTGTGCCAAGTTTTAATTTTAGCATACATTTCAGAAGTCGCTAACTATTGGTTTTTTAATTTAAAGTTGCCCCATTATTAATTTATGAATCAGCTCCTTGAGCTTAGTTTACTGTAGCTTCAATTTCCTTGCATGCAATTCTTAGTATGTTGGATACTTGGATTTCTAATATTCTTGGTATTTTTTTCATTGTGGGAGATTTTGGGGGTTTCATAAACTACTGTCTGGTACCCTGTAATATTGTCTTCCTCTGCTTTCTGTATTCTGTTTATATTTTGAAAAAACAACTTACTGCCTCTAAAACACGAAAATCCTGGGATACATGATGAATATCTGGATGCAGTTACCATTTGGTTCAGGGAAAATGGTTTATTGAAGATTATAGGTAACATGATTGATAGTGACTTATTTCTGCATTCTGCATTCTGCATTCTGTTTCTCAAGTGATTGTCCTATCAATTCTCACTACTTAAATTATTCTTTTTGGAAGGATTTTATTAACTTAAGCCATTTAAAGGGTTTGTCTAACCCCCTAAATTCAACCTTTACATGTTTAACAGCTTTAACACAATTTCTTGTTGTCTGATTAGTGAGAGTGATATTGATGAGACGGATTAAGTTTATCCAAAGCTGTGATACTCTGCTGCATGATTTTTTACATTTTTCAATGTTTATTTTCTGTTTTGTCAGGATGGGATCTATGATCTTACAATCATAGCAAAGGTACATTTAATTTTGCTTTTAGGGATGAAATGCATACAATTGCCTCACTACCTTCTCATCTATAAAATTTTGTGGGTTGACTACCCATTTGGATTATACTAAGCATCCAGATTTTGCACCCCAAAGGATGCTTTTTTGGGAAGCTAACTTAAAAAAGTATTTGTTTAAATCGTTGTTTAAGGATTCTCCTGATGATTTTTGTTATGCAAGAAGAAGCTTCTGATTGCAGCTTGCTACAAATAACATAGGGAATGATCTGCAAGTAAAGTCTTTCAAAATAGTTTTATCTGGCAAATAAGTCCCTGACGAAACTTTAATTGCAAATTTGCTCCTAAACTTTCAAATAGCAGTAAATCTTCCCAAAGTTGATGGAAAACAGTAGTCAATGTTTAATTTATTCGGTGTTGCATGATGCGTTGAGTAACGTTGATTATCATCATTCATTCACTTTGGGTATGTTTAGTTTGAGGAAGGGAAGAGGAGGGGAAGGAAAGAATTTTTTACCAATCATATTATAATATTTAAAAATGTTATAATTTGATAAGTTAGATGAACTCATAGCTCCTTTCCTTTACTTTATTTCTTTCAAATCAAATATACCATTTGGGTATATTTGTCAATGTTTGCAAGTTCAAGTTGGATTTTCCAGTGAAGTTTCATCAAAGACTTATTTGCATATTATTCCATTAAATGATTGTGCTTATTGGGAGAAATTTTCAAAAGTAAAATGCAAAGTGAGTTTCATGCATCCGAAACTTACCGGAAATTGTGGTGTCAAGCCTCTCTAGTTGATCCATTTCTTAAAGTAGATTGATTTTTGAATGTTGGAAATGAAGACTTTGACAAAGGCACATAAAAGAGAAGCATTTGTCTTGAGTTTCTGCGAGTGACCTGCTTTCCTCCTTTTTCTTTTTAGGTCGTACAAGTGCATCGACGACCTACCTTAATCCACGAAACACACGACATGATCATGTTCGTTGAAGGTTCTCTTTAAAATTTACGTATTTTATTTTGTTGAAGGGTTACTCCCTACGAAACATTGTAGTGTTTAGTTGTGTTTGTGTAGCTTGTACGAAGGGGAACAAACACCCTGCTGGAGCTGCGCCTCTGGAAGTGTGTTCAACTTTATTTATTTATTTATTTTTTCACGCTGCTCCAACATTATACAGTCACAATATTAATGTTCTTTCTCTAAAAGTTATTAGGAAGATCTAAGGATGAGAATTGGACATGGTTATAAAGTACACGAAAAGTTTATAAAAACATCCATTTGTATAGTTTTTGCATTCATTTTGATAAAATATTTGCATTATTTAAGTCAAACTTGGTTGGTATTCCATATTTGTGGAAGGATCACTTGCAAAGAATTTCGAGTTGTCTAAGTTGTTATGCTAGTTCATAATTTATTCATATAAGGTAAGTTTTGTTTAGTAGCAAATGAGATATAAGAGGGTTTTTTAAAAAAAAATTTAAGATATTCTAACAATTAAAATGTCATAAATAAAAATAAAATAACTTAAATATCTGCAATAAACTAATATACAAAAAAAAATTTATTAAAAACATTTAAATAATTTCAAAGATAATTTATAAATTTAAATTGTTAGAATATTTTAATTTTACTTTTCTCTTTATATATATAATCACTTAAATATAATTTGTGGGTGACTTACATTTACTGTTACAATTTTGTGTTAACCAAAGACAATCAAAAGGCAAGAGAATCCAAAAGGTTATTCCATTTTTCTTTTGAAGAAATTTATTAAGAGAAAATTATGTTGAGGGTAAAAATGAAAGCTTACTTTAAGGTATTTCATTAAGATTTGTATCTGTAGCCCTCTCTCTAACGCTCCTTTTAATATTCTCTAATATAAGGATATGTGATACTTAAATTTAATGTGAGTTGTAATTGGTGACTGGGGACAAAAGATAGAGTATATTTTAAATTTAAAATTATGACCATCATGTACCACTCTCTCTTAAAAAAGAGGGGAGTGGAACCTTAGCCGTTGCTCCCCTCCTCCTTATTGTTTCCATCTTTTCATTTCATTTCATTTTTTTCTTTTTGGGTTCTTTGTTTTTCTCTTCTTTTATCATGATTTTATTTTATGTTTTTAGGTTTTTTGGCATTTGGCAAGGGTTTTTGTCTCCCCTTAAGGCTGCTCATGTGGGAGTTCATCTTTTTGAGTATAGTCTATGTGGGTTTTATCTTTATTTGATAAGAGGAGGTTGGTATGCATTGTGTTTCATTAAAATGCTTTTGGCAGCCAACTAACTTAACAATTACCTTTTCATCATTTGGTGTTGATGATTATGTTAACTTGTGGCTTTACTGTCATATCAAGAACCAAGTTTGCCTATAATATCCATGGATGTTGATAGATGTACTTGTTGATTCAACACTTGGTGAGACACATCCCATAAAAAATATATTTAGGCTAATTTAGGGATTTGAGGTGAATACACTTAGTTCTTCATCCATTCATTCAGTTATTCCCTATTCATGGTTCCAAAAAAATGCCAACAATAACCCCCAATATTATTCCACTTTGCAGAAAACTCCTTTGCAACTAATGAAAACTTTGAAGTGCAAGTGAAAACTTTATAGAAAACTTTGTTTATTAATACCCAAGGTAGAAACATCTTGCATAAGAGCTTTGAAGCTCTAAAGAGTCATAACTTTTTCCACTAAAAACAAGAACAAAAGGAGTTGTTTTTACCTAGAGAAGAATTTACTTATACCAATGTGAAGCTAGTGGGCATTCTTCTGCATCATCTGTGTATATGAGAAACGATGAGATAGTGAAGGTGCCTTAGGTAGGATCGCTTTTGAACCAAGGACCCACAAGATTTTTAGGAAACCCTAAACTTTGTGGATTTCCATCGAAGGTTGAATGCCCATAAACTAAAAACCTAAAAATTGCTATAAAATTGGAAAACCCTCATAACTCAAGAGGCCTCGATCCTAGCTTTTCTAACATGGGAAGGATGAAATGAAGCTGACAATAGGGTTGGTGGTAATTCTATTAATTTCTAGCATATCATTGGTGATTAGTGCCATTTTGATCTTAGTGTGTTGTTTTCAAAGAAAATGGAGGTCAGGGGAGGGCAATTGACAAGATTTCATTAAATTGGAATTGGCAAGTGTTTAAATCTATAGAATTTGGAGGAATTGATTGGGTTTCAAATGATAGCCATCAACAAGGAATTTTGAAGGACTAAATGGATGCCAAAAGATGCCCCAGATAAATAAAGGATATGTCTTTCAAAACTGATAAACCCTATTAAATCATATTTTATCCATTGAACCGAATATGTGCTATTGAGTGTGTCCATTAAGGGGGGTAAACATATCATTTCCCAATACCATGTATCCATGCCTTCCTTGGCTTCGCAAACGAGCAATTCACTTTACTTTCCAAATCTTGCATTCCTCTCTCTAATTTCACCACCATCTACAACTACCTAATTGGCTCCAACTAGTGTTTTGAAACCTAGATCGGACCGGTCGGTCGAATTGGTTGAACCTCCACCTGGTCATGAAAACAGACCGAATGCATATCCAGAACCGTTTAGGTGATCCAACCGCCCAAACCTACCAGACCTGATAAGACTGTCCAACCCGAAAGACCCGATAAACCTGACGGGCCAAACTCAAATCTGCAATTTTTAGTTCTTTCAACCCTTTTTTAATTCAACACCTATTTTATACTTTTTTTTGTTTGATACCCTTTTTGTCCTCCTCTGCACATTATAATTCTATGGTAAAATACATAAAAAAAAAAACACATAATTTGAATGCAAATCGGTAAAATTAGATCCAGAAACCGAAATAGGAACCTTAAGCCTTCTTCTTTGACTCGTCACTACAATTCTCCTTCTCCAGTCTGCAGTTCTCTGATATCCTTCTCCAGTCTGCTGTTCTCTGTTCTCCTTCTCCATTATAATTTAGTCTCTAAACTCTAATCCAGTTTTTTAAAACCCGAAGAAACCCATTACCTCTCCAGATTCCTTAGCTCTAAACTCTAATCCATTGCCTCTCCAGATTCCAAACAAATTGCAAAGAAGAAACCCAAAAGAACGATTCCTTAGCTCTTCCATCCAGATTCAGAATCAAACTTCTTCTGTTCTTCATCAAATCTTCATCTTGTTGCCATCGCCAAGGTCGTTCTCTCTCTCGATCGGTCAATCCTTATACTTCTTTTGTTCTTCATCAGATTTTCATCTTCTCGCCAAGGTTGTTCTCTCTCTCAATTCTCTTCAACCTAACAATCCCCTTCTCCGGTTCTCTTCAGGTACTGCAGAATCACTTTCAACTTGCTGCCTTGCTCTGCATTTCGTTGCTTTAGTCTAGTATATTCCTCATCTTTTTACTGCTTATTTTGGATTGGGTTTTGCTTTGCATTTTGATTTTTGAGTTTATTTACAAAGTATATTTATTTATGTCATATTCAATTTGAATTTTGTTTTGGTATTTTGCATGTTCTACATTTCTGTTTCAATTTGAATGATTGAATCTATTCTTAATCTTTGTCATGGTATTAGTTGCCGAAAACAGACCCTTTTTCTTTTTTCTTTTTCTTTTTTTTTGTTTTTTTTATAAGCTAGCTCCAGCGTGACGAAAGCTACTTGGTTTCTTGGAAAATGAGTAATGCTGCGATTTTATTACATAGGAATAGAAGCTTTTAGAGATTATATCCTCAATCAAACCGAGTAGAATAGGCAAAGGGCTTTAGGTCCTCATCTTGGGGATAAACAATGAATAATTGTAATTTATGTATTCTTTACATATAAGTTTGAGTTTTTGGACTTGTTTTTCATATATATATATATATATATATATGTGAGACTTATTCATTTTGAGATTTGTAGTTGTATAATATTTTTTTATGTATTTATTAAGTTTTTGGACTTTCTTTTTAATGTATTTATTGAGTTTTTGGATTTTTTTTTAATATAATTTCTGAGTTTTTAACTTGTTTTTATGTATCTATTGAGTTTTTGGACTTCTTGTTGCTACCAATAGCAAGGAAAAAAAAAAGAGAAAGTTGCAGCAGGATGACGCCGGTGAACACAGGATTTCTGTTTTCTGCATTTTCCGTTTGATCCGGCTGGCCGGCCGGTTGAACCGGTCGGACCGGTCAAACCGGGAACCGATGAGCAAACCGGTTTTATGCCCGGTTCGGGTTTTAAAACACTAGCTCCAACCAAAGCTTCATCGCCTTAGAAGACGATCCCCGGAAAGTGGGTCGTGGCAGGTACAACCCAAAATGTTTCCCACAATTTCAATCTCGATCAATGGCGCAAAGGCTCCCAGTGGTTCGAGCTCCACTGCTGCCTCGCCGTTGAGATCGTATCGGACCAAAAGTACTACCCAATATTCAGGGAGTTCTGCGAACCCCCGTGTTACATGGACGAGCACTATATTCCAACACTGGTGAATATCCTCGCCGCCGAGGAGAATTTGAACAGGAGCATCACTTGGGTTGACTGGTCCAAGCACGGACGTCATCCGGTAAAATTCGGAAGGGGAGATACATCGGAGGAGTTTGTGAATCGGATGAGACTAGGGGGAAACTGCAGTTACAATGGCAATAGGACAACGTCGGTGTGTTTTCCGTTTGGGAGGAAGTTCGTACCCAGTACTTTGCAGCCTTTGTTGCGGATGGTGCCATTGTTGTTTGGTTCTGGTCAACAGTCGTTACCGTAACTGTACAGAGGGCAGAGTTTTGAACGGTCAAATTAAAGAAAAAAGAGAGAACGGCGCAGGACACTTTTTTTCTTTTTTTTTTTTGAAGGTAATTCTTAGTACGTTAATGCATTTCCTAGTTGGGGGCGGGAGAGAGAGGAGGGGATGGGAAGAAATGGCAATGTACTAATTATGGCAAATTACATCTACCCCATGTCTATTAACTATTGAGATTGTTGCCCACTTTCAAATAATAAAATTGTGCATTCAGATTTTATGTGATTTTAAAATTGTGTAATTTTCTAACTTGTTCTCTTATATTACATGTTAAATTTTATTAAATGTAATATTTTTAATTAATTTTGTATAATTTTTTATATTAAATTTAATTAAAATAAAATTAAAATTTAAAATTGAAATAAAATAAAATATTTATTCTCAAAATTTGTAAAAAGATATGAATTTGATATAAAAATTTGTGTAAAATTAATTACAAATTTTGTAATTAATAAAACCTAAAGATATATGTTAGATAAACTCTAAAAATGTAAACATAAATTTGTTTTGAACATTTGCAATGTGTTTGAATTGGGAAAGTTGGACGGAAGAGGAAGGAGAATGAGGAGAGGATGCTTCTTTTTTTGTGTCTAGGTTATCTATTTTAGGTTACTTATCTTAATGGAGGGGGGAGATGAAACCCTTTCATATTAAAATAATTGTTGTTTTTTGAGTTTGTCTTAAATTAATTATTATTATTTTTTTATTTTTTAAGATAGACAAATATTTTTTTATTTTAACCTTTTCATTTTTGTTTATTTTGATTAATTAACCTATTAAAAAAAAGCAAACCAAGTCAATTAATTAACCTATTACCTATTTGTTTTTTTTTTTTCTTAAGAGTAATATAGATAAATACATGAATTGTCCTTAAATCCTTAATTTAAAGAAAAAGTAAAGAGAAAAAAGACAATTATTTTGTGATAGAGAAATTCCATCCCTTCAAATAAGAGGGATTGTGAGGAATTAATTTATATATTTAATTTTTTAATTTTTTAAAAATATATAAATATTTTATTTTAATTATTTTTTTAATTAATGAAATTTAAGTATTATATTATATTATTTTAAATTATTAAATTAAATAAAAATATTATCCTTTCATCTTAATTACTTTTATTTGTTCAAATAAAATTAACATTAACCCTTTCTTCTTTTTTTTCCCTTCCTGCCCTTTCCTTCTCTTCCTTTCTTTTACTAATTTTTGTTCAAATACATGGCTGGAAAATATTCACTTGATTTCGTATGCTTTTAAGATTTCATTTTCAAAATCAATACACTTAAGGGTTTAAATACACATATTCTCTAATAAATAATTATCCGTCTTATGTATTAAATCATGAATTTAAGTTTTGGATCAATATCTAAATAAATTTAATTTTTTTAATGTACCAGATTGCATACGATTACGATGACAATTTTTACCCATGCCCGATCTTACCCACCGTCACAGTTTTTGCGTATCATGGCCCTGTATGGGTAAAAGATTTCTATCCATAGGCTGAGTGAGGGTGAAAAGAGTTTACCTCATAATTTTTGGGTAATGGTAATGGTAATTTTTCCGGGTAATGGTAATTTTCCAGGTAATGCCTTAGCCTATCCTCACCCAGCCCATTACCTAATTAATTAATAATATATATTAGAATATTATTTTTTAAAATTTAAATTAATAAATAATATTTAAATTCTAAATAGACTTGACAAAATTAGATTTAATCCGAAAATTCGACTTAACCCATCCATTATGGGTCAGGTGATGGGTCTTATGTATTCATCCGAAATTTGAAATGATCTAGATTAAAATTATCTGAACTCAAATGAGTTGGATCACGGGTGGGTCGAGTTACTTGAAATGATCCGAACTATTTTTTATTCATTTTTATTAAATTATTTAAAAATTAATTTTAAATTTTAAATTTCTAATTTCATAATTCTAAATTTAAAAATAAATAAAATACATAAATTCTAACTTCTCGTCAGTTTTGCTTTCTCTCAACTTTTTCTCTTCTCCACTCTTGCTCTCCCCTTCTTCATCTCAAGCTCTTTAATCCCTCTCTTTGGTGACACTTGCATCAAAAATTAGATTAGGTGATACATAATGAGTTGTATCATATGTATTATCAAAAAAATCTTTCTTTTTTTTTTTTAAAGAAAGCAAGAATGCTTATTGAAAATCAAAAGCCAATGGTTGAGATTCTCTCATCACCATTAGAAGCATAATGACAAGGACATCAAGAACATCAAGAGCATCAAGGTTTGTTCTTAATTGGTAATTTATTCTAAATTACTAATTTGTTCTTAATTAATAATTTTTTCTTAGTTAATAAAAATCAATTTCAATTCAATTTTTTCTTATATTTGTTTAGATATATTTTGAATTTACCTTTTGAACTTTAATATTGAATATGGTTATATTTTTTGTATAATACCCTTCTAAATATTGAATAGAACTATATTTTTTTTTAATAAAATAGCCTTATAAATATTGAATAGACATTAGATATTAACATATGTATTGGATTTGTCTTTTGAATTCTAATCCTTCATGTCTCTTCTTTTAATGAAGGTTAGTTTTATGTCTCTTCTTTCCATGAAGGTTAGTGTCTTTATAAAATTATGAATTCTAAATATTGTATAGGTGTTATATATTGGCAAAATACCCAAATCCACCTTCAAAATATAGTGGCAAGGACGGATCTACTCATGAATAGAAAAGAGGAACGAATCAACCCACAAAGTTTTCGATTTGGATAAATCATCCCAAATTTAACGTGACATCATTTAACATCAGCAATCCGTTAATTCGTTAATGGATTGCTGAGTCAGATGACATCAAATTAACAGATTGCTGATATCAAATGATGTCACATGTTAAATTTGGGGTGATTTGTCCAAGTCAAAAATTTTGTAGGTGGATTGGTCCCCATTTTTTGTTCGGGGGTGAATCTATCCCTGCTACTATACTTTGAAGGTGGATTTGGGTATTCTGCCTTATATATTTGACATATGTTTTAGTTCCACCTATATAATTAGTAATCTTTCCATTTTCTTTTCTTGAGATTGGAATGAAAATTAGCGTTTAATAAAGTTTTCTAACTAAATAATTAATTAGTAATAGATTATATCAAAGAAAAATAGAGAAAAATATATTAAAAAAATTTAATTTTAAAATTTTAAAAGTTGGGTCCACCGGACCTAATCCGAAACCTGTGTGGGTGGGTCATGGATCTACTCCTGTAACTCGATACTCGAAATGACTCAATTCAAAAAACCCGAGATCCAAGATGATCCAATCTGAACCCACCAAATCCGACCTGTATGCCAAGTCTAATTCTAAAATTCTTTGATTGCAATTGAAGATTTTAAATCTTATATTTTATATTAGTGTTTATTGGTTAAACTTTTAAAAGTTAAAAAATAATATTTTAAAACTATATTTTTTTATTAAAATAGAATAGAAAAAAACCAACATAATCTCTTTTTTACTTTAAAAATAAGTTATTTTCATCTTTTTCAATAAAAGTTTAATGCAACCACATTGTTTGGGAATGTTTTTCTTCATAATTTATTAGAAATTTAGTTGATAAACACTTTACTCTTTCTTAATTATAATTAAATGCTAACTTAAATTTACATTATAATTTGATTTCTTAAAAGAAATACAATCCCTCAATAGTATCTTTTTATAGCTAAATTAATTTAAAAATCCTAAGTTCATCACTTTATCTAAGGCTTAGTTTGATGGTATTGTCCTATACTACATTGCAACCACATTTGTTAGTAGTACTATACTACCACAATAAAACATTTTAGTATTTGGTAATTATATTTAAAAAATGCTATATATTGTAAAATTACTCAATTAGATACACTATTAATTAAAATTAAATTAATTAATATTTAAATAAGTAACATACATGGTTTTAACTAATTAAATTGGAAATTATTGGGCTAAAAGATAATTATAGTTGAATCAATATTTGTGGGGATAAAACACAAGATTTATAAGAAACTGATGTTCTTATGTAATTGTAGTCATTTAAGATAAAGAAAGTCTATACCACATAATAAGAGTGGAAAAAAAATATGATTAATAATGACATTTTGGAAATTCTATTGCTTTTGGATAAGGTGGCTTTGTATAACTATTATTGTTTATAATTCAAAATATCTAACTTATTTGATTAAAATTAATAACTTATAACTATTTGCAAAATACTAAAACAAACACAATTTAAGCATCGTTTGACAAGCTGCCCATGACACTTTTCATGTGCAGCTACAACACTTTTCATAACTTTTGTATTTGGTAAATTATACGAGTCTACTTTTCTAAAAAGCTTATAAGTTGTATTAAAAAACTAATCCAAACAACCCTTAAATCTTTTTAACTTAATAGTTAATATAATAACTAAATGAGAGGAGATTAACCCTTTTTTGACTTCAAATTTGAGATTAACTTGAATTGGACTTTTCCTTAGAGAAAAAAATTATCTTCCTGAGTTGAATTTATTATTTAATTATACTTCCTCTCTCCAAAATAATTTATCTCGGGATTAAGAATTTGATGATAATTTCTATTTTTATATATTTTATCTTTAAAAAATTAAAAATAAAGAGATTTTTTAT